TGAAGAGAGAGAGTCATATCACCAAGCTTCATTAACTCACTCACTCACTCACTCACAAGGTCGATGCATGAGTGAGTGAGTGAGTGAGGGCTTGCGTGAGACGGTGAAGGACGGCGGACGTGTTGCTTGTCTTCCTGGCTTCAGAGAGAGAGTGAATCCGCCGAGTACTGTGAAGGTTTATTTTTTTGGGGGGGGCGCGCTTTTGTTTTTTGTTGTTGTTAAAGTCGTAAGAGATTCCGCCACCTCCCACACACGCTGTTGAATTATTAAGTGGTAGTTGATGCGCTTTCTAAACTTCTAGGGAGATTGTGAGCTGTTCTCGGATTCTTGGTGTTAAAATTTTTTTGCTGTTGTTGTGGTTCGTATTCGTTGTTTCGGTTCCGCTATAACTAGAGGTTCTATCTATCTATCTATCTATCTATCTATCTATCTCTCGTCAAGATATGTTACTTTGAGAGAACAAGAGAGTAACACGACACTAAGCGAGGAATTCTCTCTGTCGGGGAGAAGGCCACTGGTTTCCGAATTACCAGGATTTGTGGCTCGTAAACAACGTACGTGACAAGATTGGGGAGTGGCAAAGTACGTACGTGAAAGGATATGTCTGGTACTGTACGTGAAAGAATTTATTTAGTGAAGTACGTACGTTAAAGGATTTATCTGGTGAAGTACGTACGTGAAAGGATTTACATCAAAACAACAACAAACTACAAATTCTTATATTTTTTAAGGGAATCGATATTTTAATGCACGAAGACAAACAATAAACTACTTAAAACAAATATTTTCTTTTTTCTTGGGTGGAGGAATGGGTCAGGTCAGGTCAGGTCAGGTTACTTTAGGTTTGGTTAGGTTAGGTTATGGTGGTGGGTGGCATCATGGAGGCAGGCAGGTCAGTGTTTGTGCCTCAGAATACACAGTGGGTGTTGAACTGGTCTACATGAGGGCCTCCCGACGCTGCCCCGTGACTCTTTTGTCGGGGGCTGGCTGGCTGGTTACTGGGGGCTGGGTGTGTTATTGGGGGGTTGAGTGTATTTCTAGGGGCTGGGTGTTAGATGTGTTATTGGGTGCTGGATACGTTACTAGCGACTTAATAATTATGTTGTTGGCATCTACGTAAACCATCAAGGACTGAATGAACTATAGGGGGGAGGGAGGAAGGAAGGAAGGAGGGTAACAGGGGACTGAATCTCGAAAAAAAAACATTCAAAATAACAGTCCAAAATCCAACGTAAACACAATACACCCTTCCCCCTCTCTCCCCCCCCTCCTCCCCTCCTCCCCTCCTCCTCCCCCCCAATAAAAGAGGAAAAAAATATATGAGTACAAGCTTTAATCCGTACGTCTCATCATTAAATTCTATAAAAGATCTAAACCCAAAACACCCGGGAAATCGTCAATAGCGGAGGTAATGAATTCCTTTAAAGGGTTCCTGGTCAGTGAATTTGATTTGGTTAACGGTGGTTGTAATGACCGTCTGTGTGGGGGGGGGGGTGGGTGGGTGGGTGGTGGACTTCACGCTTCGGAATACAGCCGTCCAATTGACCACTTACCTAACAGCTTGGGTGAAGGTCTTGGGGAGACGAAGAGAGGTGAGGAGGAAGAGTGATCCCCAAGTCAAGAATATTAGTAGATAGAAAGATAGACAGACAGACATACGGATAAATAGATAGATAGATAGATAGATAGATAGATATAAGTGTTAGTAACTGGATTTAATGATCTTGAAGTTTATCCCCTGAGTGCCATGGGCTGACTAGACGGTGTGTGGTGACTTGTGTTGCTCGTATTACCATGTGATCTTGTTAAGGTAGTGTGTACGCTTCAACAGTTACCAGGTGAGGATTTGAGAGCGTGAAGCTTATGGGTGACTCAGGTGGTGGGTGATACTGTTTACCCGGAATCAGAAGAATCTATCATCTGTGTGTTGTATGTTGTTGGTATCAGCGGCCCCATACTGTTGTCGATTTTTTTTGACGTTTAGAAATGGCCATCAACTTTGTTTATTATTTCTGAGAGGTATAGTGAAGGAGGGTTGAGTTTTACGACGACAAGGACTATAATCTTCCCCCTTCCCCCCCTCCCTTCCCTTCCCCCTTCTCTCATCCCCTTCTTGCTCCCTCTCCCCTCCTTCTCCTTCCCTCTCCACCTCTTGTATTTCCCCCCTCTCCCCCTCACCACCCCCCCCTACATCTTTACCTTATTAGTCCTTACCTCTTACGACACCAGGGAATATAAACGATCTTTATGGGCCTGACTCGCCAAGCCATCGTCAACCCCCCCGTGTGTTAAATTTCACTCGCGTCTTCACTAAGGAAATTGGACTGTAATTTTCCAGTAGTAAAAGTTCCATTTAATTTATGAAGGTGGGTGAGGTTTCTATTTTATTTATTTTTTTATTATTACTACAGGTTTTTATTGGTTTCTATGTTCCTGTTTTATATGGTTTTAGGAATTTGGGAGAGTTTTGGTTTTGTTAGTTATCAGAGGGAAGAATTGTTGCCTTTCTTGATCCGTATTCAATGTTGTAAAAGTAAATTATTGAGGTAGAAGTGTATGTGATGGTCGTACTGTAGTGGAGATTCTGTTGAGTCTTAAGGTATTATATATAGGATGTATGGTATTTCCTGTGTAGTATAACGTGTCTCCAGCTACTCAAACTATCTGTTATTTTACGATTTACATTTTTTTTTACTACATTACCGTTGCTTGGCATCTTAAAGTACTGATTATTTGGAGTAGATGTGAGCCAAGCCATGTGATGACTCCCTCTGGTGTTCTCGGTACTCGTCATCCTTATCATGCCAGGGCTTGAGTACTGAGACTAAAACATCATATTATTGCACTACCCACAAGAACTCACCTGGGCATTATGTAAAATATTTTGTTGTTACGAGTTTTATCGAGGTTAGAGTATAGTAGAGTAGATAATAATCACCTGGAGAATAAACTCAACATACGGAGAGACCAGCAGAAGGCGTCCTTGAAACCATGTTGGAGAAAAGTTTGATTTTACAAGTGGGTGCGCCAGTGTGTTGTGTGACCCCGCCCCTGCCCAGGTCCCGCGGGGCATGGCGGCGTCCTTCCCGGGCAGTTATGGGGGTTCGACCAGTCTCATTTGCTGGTGTTTACTGGTGGTTGATCCTGCCTGGCGTGGGAGCGGAGAGGAGAGGACGTGGGAGGGGATACCTTAATGCTCATCCTCCCTGGCAGACGTCGACACTCCTATTAACTCCTAGGGTAGGATCAGTGGCTAAATGAAGAAGGATCAGCGTTATAAACAATGATCAAACACTCCAGAAGAGGATCAATGTTGCAGGCGAGGATCAACACTGTATGGATCAACACCTCAAACAACAAGCAAAACATTAAATCTGTGCTTCTGAATCAATGGAAAACGATAAACTCTGCCTCATCGCTTCGAGTCCTCCTCTGAAGGTTCGTTCCCATCGGTCCTCAGGTTCAGGAATGTTTCAACTTGTTTCAGTGTTATGAGACAATTGTTTTAATACTATAGGAAAGAGTCGCGGGATTAGCTGAAAAATTGGCCCCCCAGATAATTTCACCACACGATTAACCACCCTAACGCTAATCTAAACTCAATTAACCAAAATAACCTAACTTAGTATAAGCTCGCTTAACCTAACCTAACCTAATCTTAAATTAACCAAACCCTTACCAGGTTGCTTCAGGTGTTTTAATCATTAAGTGAAATAAGCTGGGTGGGCTAATGTTCATGTGTTCTAGTTGCTGCGTGTGTGTGTGTGTGTGTGTCGGGAGTGATAGATAGATAGCAGTATTTGCCGCCTCCTACACACCACTACCATCGCCACCACTACCATCACCACCACTACTACACCACCACCACCACCACTACACCACCTACCACCACCACCTACTTACTACCACCACCACCACCACCACCCACCATCACCACCACCACCACTACTCACTACCATCACTATAACCACCACCACCACCACCACTACCACTACCATCACCACTACCATCACAACCACCACTACTACACCACCACCACCGTTACCACCACCACTACCACCACCATCACCACCACTACCACCACTCAGTCGTGCTTGTGGTGAGTGACCTGGAGGATGAGTACTGGGGGTTAATGTGCTTTATTTGTTTGTTGCTTTGTCGTGTGTGTAGAGTTTTGACACACACACACACACACACACACACACACACACACAGTAATTGGTGTTGGGTGAGGAAGGAGTGTTTTGTTTACCCTCGACACCTGTCATAATTACTATGCAGATAAACCTGTGTGTCACTTTACTGCCGGGCGTTG